GAGGTGAGGAGAGGAGAAGGAGGAGGAAAAGAAGGAGGAGGAGGAGGAGGGGGAGGAGGGGAGGGGGAGGAGGGGGAGGAGGAGGAGGACGAGAGGAGGAGGACGAGGAGGAAAAGGAGGAGGGGGAGGGGGAGGGGGGGAGGGAGGAGGAGGAGGAGGAGGATGAGGAGGATGAGGAGGAGAGGAAGGAGGAGGAGGAGGAGGGGGAGGAAGAGGAGGAAGAGGAGGAGGAGGAGGAGGAGGAGGAGGAGGAGGGAGGAAGAGGAGGGGGAGGAGGAGGAGGACGAGGGAGGTGGAGGAGGGGGGCGAGGAGGAGGAGGAGGGGGAGGAGAAGGAAGAGTAGGAGCAGGAGGAGGGGGAGGTGGAGGTGGAGGAGGAGGAGGAGGAGGAGGAAGGAGGAGAAGAAGGAGGAGGAGAAGGAGAAGGAGGAGGAGGAGGAGGAGGAGGGGGGGAGAGGGGGAGGAGGAGGAGGAGGAGGAGGAGGAGGAGGAGGAGGAGGAGGAGGGGGAGGAGGAGGAGCAGGGGGAGGAGGAGGAGGAGGAAGAGGAGGAGGAGGAGGAGGAGGAGGACGAGGAGCTGCGAGCGCGCGCCCCCCACCGTGCCCAGCGGGCGGGTCGATGCGCCACGCGCCCTCAGGGCCTCCGCACGACGCAGCGGTGGGCCGACCCTCGGCCGCGCGTGGAGCCCCGCCCCCTCCGCCGACACGCCGAGCGCGATGAACAAAAAAGCTGCTGGCACCGTCTGTTGGGAAGATTTAACCCCTGGTCCTCAATGGCAGCCACGCTGCCAACACCAGGCGCAAGTACAAGTACCCTGCATTTCAGGTTGGTCGCCTCCCCTCACCCAAAATAACAAGGACAGGCTGCCACAAACACGAGCCAGACGCAACGGGCGTCCACCAACCTTTTCGGAGGGGACCCACGTCAGGAGCCAAAAACACCAGGGGAAGTTACACGCGTCGGGGGGGGTCCCCCGCGCGACCCTTTGTTTGTATGATTACAACAAGGCCTTTTTGATGGATTTCCTTGTGATTGGAACGCTATGTATCATCATAGGTTCTTCCTGGGCGCGCGCGCATATCGGTGCCCCTGCTTTTCTTGTCGTAGAAGAAGACTCTGGCATCGATGCCTCTCTTCTTCACTCATCTTCCTCCCCCCCCCCCTTCCTTTCAATCGCAGTGCATCGCATTGCACTGCATTGAATTGCACGGCAATCGTATTCCATTGCGTTGCACCCGCGCGGCATTGCAATCACATTGCATTGCTTTGAGGGAGGGAGAAGGGAGGGAGGATGGGAGACAAGGACGGAAGCTGAGGAGGAAAGGAGGAAGGAGGAGGGGGGGGGACGGGGGGGAGGGAGGGCGAGGCAGGGAGGAAGACGGCGAGAACGGACGGAGGAGAGGAGGGAGGGGGATGGGGAGGAGGCAGGGACGAACGCCGCACACTTCCACAAATATGACATTTGGAAGGGGGAAACGCTCGCAAATTTTCAAACATAACTTTTTTGTTGTTTCCGTAGCATGCTTGCGGAACGCGGTACATTTCTCGCAATCCGCGAAAATCAAGATTTTCCAAATGTCATTTTCATTATGACTTTGTGCATTTTTACTATCGGTGTCGATCTCGGAATTCTGAAGAGACGTTTTTTCGGGTGCCTCGCGGGTGCCTTCGGGTGCCTTGCGGGCGCCTTGCGGGTGCCCTTCGGGTGCTCTTCGGCTGTCTTCGGCGCAATATCAATTACGCGCTACTTCGACGGGAGCCAGCCCAGGGGTCGGGCGCAAGTGGATTTCAAACCGTGCCCCTCGGATCTTCGCAAGGCGCATGAACGTTTGCAGACAACGGCTTACCAGGAAAAGGCTTACCTGAACCACAAACAGTATTGCCTTGACATCATGGCAGCGATGAGCCAGAACGAGAGGTCGTGCCAGAGACCACTCACAGGCCGCAATGCCCAGTCGACGGTCAGCGATCTCCTCTCCAGGTACATGGCGCCCGCAAAGTATTTGTACTACCAGAACATATCCGTGTACAGAATGAGAACGGGGCTGCCGTGCCAATACGGGACAACTCCTAATGAAGCAGTCATGTTCCAGCTGAAGGCGTACAACGCCAATGTTTTCGCATCGACTCGCCAGCGGTGTGAGTTCACGTTGGACTTGTTCACCTTCGGGAAGGTTGTGTCACTGCACATGAAAAGAAGAGCGCCTGAAGGGATGTCCAAACTTTCCCCCGTGTCTTGTCATGCCCATGCGATGGCCCTCCTGAGGCGACAGCTCGAGTTGGGACATGTGAAGGCTCCGAGCTCGAAATGTGTAGAGGAGTGGCAGGATCCCCAGGTTGTGACAAAGGGGAGCAAACGCAAGCGCAGGAGCGCCAGCGCGCCAGCCAAGCGCCAAAGGCGCTAGCTGCATGCCAACTGCGTAGACATCATTTCCCATCCTTGCACACCTCTGCTCCTTCACTGCATTCTGTCAGTTTGAATTGCTGCCCCACGGAAAACATAAGCCACCTGAACTTAATTTGGCGAATCGAAATGGCCTTCGGCAGTTCCGTGCCCCCCTCGCATTCTGTGGAAATCTGGATCTGGAATCTACCGAATTACATTTGAATTAAACATATTAAAAATTGGAAACATTCGGGATTAGGATCTGCCCGATAAGCGTTTATTTTGAATTAGAATGTTATTAGATATCAGATTTGGGTTTCATGTCCAGGGCCCTCCGAGCGGCCCAGGGGCCCTCCGCTCGGCGACGCGGAGGATCCAGGAACATACGAAAAACACATTGGAATAAAAGGAAAACTTGTGTTTTCTCATGGAAAATGGGAAAACTCAACAAAAAAAAAGAACGACAGTCACAGGTTTCGTGGCTGTTCCTTATTTTTCTCTGTGAAAACACATGTTTTTCCTTGTTTTTCCTGTTTTTCCTATTTTCCTTTTCCTCCCCCCGAGGGCCCTGGCCCTCCGAGCTGCCCAGGGGCCCTCCGCGCAGCAGAGCGGAGGAGGAGGAAAATAGGAAAAACAGGAAAAACAATGAAAAACCTGTGTTTTCACAGAGAAAAATAGGAAAAAACTAAAAAAAAAAAGCGACAATCACAGGTTTCGTGGCTTTTCCCTATTTTTCTCTGTGAAAACACAGGTTTTTCCTTGTTTTTCATATTTTTCATATTTTCCTTCTCCTCCCCCCGAGGGCCCTGGCCCTCCGAGCTGCCCAGGGGCCCTCCGCGCAGCAGAGCGGAGCAGGAGGAAAATAGGAAAAATATGAAAAACAATGAAAAAACTGTGTTTTCACAGAGAAAAATAGGAAAAACTAAAAAAAGAACGACAGTCACAGGTTTCGTGGCTTTTTCCTATTTTTCTCTGTGAAGACACAGGTGTTTCCTTGTTTTTCCTGTTTTTCCTATTTTGCTGGCAAGCTTCCGCGGCCCCTCCTCTTTCCTCCTCCCTCCCTTCTCCTCCATCTTTCCGTCTCCACTGCAGATACAATCGGATTCCAATAAGAAAGCAGTACGAACATAATAAGATTACATTCGAGATGTCCCCCTCCCCCCCTCGCGCCTCACACGCCATCCTTCTCCAGAAAGATTGTATAATATTCCATTATGAATATCAATGCTTGCAGGGCAAAAAAGCGGCGGTTGTAATCGCACAAACAAAGGGTCCTACGGGGGTCCCCCCCGCCGACGGCCCCACGTCGACCCCCGTCGCGGGCAGCCACCGTGCGCCGAAGGGGCCCAGACCCCCGTCGCGGCGCGACGACGAGGCGAGATTGACCCCGTCGGGGGGGTACCCCCCCACTCTTAGTAAGAAATCCAGAGGAGGGTCAAAAACATTAGGGGCAGGGGGTCGTTCCGCAAGATGCATCCGACCATGCCGCCCAGAAAAGTGGTACCCCTGACTGATGCGAGGACGGATACCCAAGTGAGGCCACGCCTTCGTCGTGTCATGAAGGCTGGGGGGTGTCTTGTTCTCGCTGAGAGCGAGCCCCGCGGTCGCAGCAGCGCGGACGAGTGCGCCGGCCGCGACCTGCGCCTGGCGGGCCGCCGTGCTCAGCGCGCCCCGGCACGGCGGCCAGACGCCGCGGTCGCACACGACGGGCGGCACCGCGGCTCCTCCATCGCATAGGCCCGGGCGGCGGGCACCATACGCGGGGAGGGGGGGCTGAGAGGAGGGGGCCGCCGAAGGGCCGCAGCCGCGCGCAGAGCCGTCTCGAGGCAGGGGGGAGGGAGGGGGCGAGGGGCGAGGAGCGAGGAGCGAGGAGGGAGGGAGGAGCCAGCAACGCCGCTCTGCTCTCGGGAGCGCACCCCCGCTGCGGCGTCCTGGCCGCAGCTGGCTGCTGCAGGTCCCCGCCGATCCATATAATTAGCATGGTGCACGCTCCGCCGTGGCAGCTCTGCCTGGGTCTCTGCTGTATCCGAGCTGCCTCTGCTTGCTCCCGAGTGCTCCCCGACGGCGCTGGCGCGAATCGCGACGTGACCCGCCCCCTCCCCCCCGCAGCAGTGCGGACCGTCCTCGCCAGGGGAGCTGGCCCTCTCCAGTGGCCTGAACGGGCCTGCCTCCAGGGAAGGTCACCTCCCTCAGAAGCCCGCAGCAGGGGCGCGGCTCAGCGGCACACGCCCGGCAATATTGAACAGGGAGTGGCGAGAGAGGCGTGGACGCAAAAGGCACAGGAAAGCTGGAAATGAGCCTGCGAGGCCTCAAGATGGTCCCAACATGGCCTAAGGAGGCTTCAAACACCAACGGGCATGTCCATCAAGATTGCCAGACCAACTGATGGAGAGGGGACTCCACGACGCAACCGAGCATCCAGGAGGAAGATGGGGAGGAGGGTGGAGCAACTGGAAGTTGCTGAAACAAGCCCGAACCAATTGGGGCGAGGTCGCCAGGGCTGGAAAAACTAGAGGGACACCGGCCACGGCTGGAACGAGTGAAGGGCTGGCGTCGGTTGCGGAAGCTCTGGCACCATCACCATGGGTTTTCGCTTTACAGTCCATCTCACAAGCCTTGCGCAGCTTATCCTCCGACACGCCCGGCTTGCAGTCCAAGTCGTACATGCCGTCGGCGCGGACAGCGGTCACCTTGGCCCTCATCCATTCCTGCGCGACTTCGGCGGGATGCGGGAATAGGATTAAGCCGGGCGTGTCCCTCTGCAGAAGGAGTATTCAAAAATAGTAAAAAATGAATATGGGGACGAGAGTTTGACTACTGTTTCATATGTTTCGGCAATGTTTTACTTTTCGTCCAAAATCCGCCCGTAGGGGACACGCTCGACTTAAGAATACAGTCGGGGCGTTGATCTAAGGAACCCTAAATAAAGAACGAGGCCCCTTTTTTCCATAAGTTAAACTTCGGAGTCCTATCGAAAACATACGGAAAACCTGAGGCAAGCTGTGAAACACTTAAGGAACGCGGAGCCCCTCCCCAGCCCAAAAGGGTTCCTTCTTCAAGGCCCTGACTGTAGGAGGGTCAGGGAAGGTCGGGCCTAACGAGAGGGGGCGCAGCGAGGGAAGCGGTCAGCGAAACAGCTCACGCGACCAGTTCCCTGGGCGCCCCCCGGGCCCCCAAAAAGGGGCTTCAGACGGCCCCGTTTCGGCAGCCCATCGATGCCCCCCACTGATCGCCCCCCATCAATTCGCGCCCACTTTACTGACCCCCTCTCTTCCTCCAGCCCAGGGTGAGCGCCACTCGCGGATTCCCACAGTCTCAGCAGGGAGGGAGGACACGGGGCTACTGGGAGGCGGGAGGAAGCATGAGAAGAAAAAACTATAAACATTAACTTTTGGCGCTCCGCGCGGATTTCTTGGGTCTGCGCTGGGCCCCCCTCCCTGGCGTGCGGAGCGCGCCAGGGGCGGCGCCGGAGGCGCTGCCAGGAGCCCCCAGCGCGGATACAAGAAATCTGCGCGGAGCGCCACAAGTTTATGTTTATGGCGTTTTTCCCATCTTCGAGAGGAGGAGGATGGCGATCGGGTCGGACGAACAGGGAGGCTGCAAAGGGGAGATGCGAGCGAACTTGCTGCATGGAGCAGTGCAGCTGACTTTCTTGACGCCGCCCGGCGCTGGAGGCGCCCTTGCACAGGGCAGTTTGTAAATACATAGGGCTTTTGTTTTTATACAACATAAAGAATTATATAAATGACTAATTTATAAAAGAATTGATGCATGAACTGATCGTTGGTTTTAATGCTAATGCCCTGCATCTTTAATACATGATCCGCACGCGGAGCATGTATTGAAAACGGCACTGTATCGAGGAGGGCGCGTGCCGGCGAGTCCGAAACCGGCAGCAAAGGGCCCAAGGCGTCCAGAGAGGCCCCAAAACAGCCTCCGCTGGCCGGCGCCCCACAAAATGCAAGCGCCCCAGAGGTCCCCAACAGGCCTCCAGGAGGGCTCTTTTCCTCTCGTCTACCCCTTTTTATCCCTCTCTTGTCTCCCTCTCTCCCTCTTGCACGTGTTGCCTGAAGGGTTCCACAGAGGACTGCAGGGAGCACGCGGCCCGATAGCTTGGCACCACTCCGGCCCAACGTTTAGCCACAGAGGCGCTGACAAAAGCAGGGAGCAACGGTGGTTCGCCGCAGGCGTCTTCTATGTACATATATATATATATATATAAAAATATATATTTACATATATAATGATATATTCATATATATATATATATATATATATATATGTGTTGTATATATTCACAGACGTCCATACACGTCTGTACACACACATACACACACATATATATATATATATATATACATATCGGAGGTGAGGGGGTGAGATCGAAGTGGAACGGAGAGCCCCCCTACCGGGAAATCGGTTTCGGTTTCGTGTTCGCATGCCGTGCGTGCGGGCGAGGCGAAGCTGCGTGGGCGGGCAAGAAGAAAATCTCCTCCGGCTGAGGCGCGGCCGGACCAAATGTTTCCTTTCCGGGGGCCGGTGGGGCGCGGTGTCCCGCCTGTGTCCCGCCTCCGGCTGAGGCGCGGCCGGACCAAATGTTTCCTTTCTGGGGGCCCGTGGGGCGCGGTGTCCCGCCTGTGTCCCGCCGGTGCCCCGTCGGTGTCCCGATGATGATGATGATGATGATGATGATGATGATGATGATGTCGATGATATTGATTAGTATTGATGATGATGATGATGATGATGGTGATGGTGATGGTTGTGATGATGATGATGATGGTCCTGGTGATGATGATGATGATGATGATGATGATGATGATGGCGTTGACGATGTTGATGATGATGATGATGGTGATGATGATGGCCATGGTGGTGATGATGATGATTTCCCGATTATGATGATGATGTTGACGATGCTGATGTTGCTGATGATGATGGTGTCCCGATGATGCTGATGATGATGATGATGATCCTAATGATGTTGATGATGATGATATGCTGATGATGCTGATGATGAAGATGATGATGGTGTCCCGATGATGATGGTGCTGACGAGGTTGATGATGATGCTGTTGATGATGATGATGGTGATGGTGATGATGATGGTGTCCCGATGATGATGATGATGTTGATGTTGATGATGGTGTCCCGAAGATGATGATTTTGATGATGAGGATGGTGATGAGGTGATGCTGATGATTTTGATGATGGTGGCCCGATGATGATGATGCTGATGTTGATGATGATGGTGTCCCGATGGTAATGATGATGATGGTGATGAAGCTGGTGACGATGATGATGGTGCCCCGATGATGATGGTGGTGATGATGATGGTGCTAGTGATGATGGTGTCCCGATGAAGGTGTTGATGCTGTTGTGCATGATGGTGATGATGATTATGATGATGTTGCTGATGATGATGATGATGGGGTGATGATGATGACGGCGGCGTTCCGCTGCTGATGATGATGATGGTGTCGCGATGATGATGATGATGATGATGATGTTGATGATGATGGTGACGACGATGGTGTCACGGTGATGATGGTGATGATGTTGATGATGACGGTGATGAGGTGATGATGATGATGGTGTCCCGATGATGATGATAATGATGATGATGTTGATTACGTTGATGACGATGATGCTGATGCTGATGATGATGATGACGTTGATTGTGAGATCGATTGCGATATCGATGGAGAGATCGACAGTAAGACCGAATGTGAGATCGATTGTGAGATCGATAATGAGATCGATTGTGAGATCGAAAGTCAGATCGATTGCGAGATCGACCGAATGGAATTGATCGAGTGAGATCGATTGTGAGATCGACCGAGTGAGATCGATCGAGCGAAACCGATAGTGAGTTCGATAGTGAGATCGATAGTGAGACCGATCGAGTGAGACGTTGGTTCCTCCCCCCCCCCGAACCTCTTTATCACCCGAAGGGTGGTCGTATAGGTATATATATATACACATTTAAGTGGACCGAGGTGGTTTGTCGGACCGCTGCGGGGCTACTTGGACGCTGACGCACGTGCGCGCAGATTAGAATGACAGTAACGGGACCCGAGGGAAACAGGTCCTGTACACCAGGGTCTTCTCCCGGGACAAACATTCTTCATCGCACATCGCTTTTGAGAGTCATGGGGCCTAGGGGGGGGGCCCGAAAATTAGAAAACAGAGAACAAACCTCTGGACCCGCTTCTCGCAGGACGCATCCGCTACACGGCGAGCAGTCGACCACTCCGAGTGTGGCGCCCCAGCGCCCGAGGGCTCGAAGCGGCGGCGACTGATGCGCGGCGAAAGCCTGGCTGCAACAGCCTCAGGCCAGGGAGGGGTTAATCTCAGGTCGGGCATGTCCCCTTACTGGCCGATCTTGGAAGAAGACGTAAAGGTAGACAAGCATATTCAAACATGATTGAACACATGGGAGAATCGTCCTCCAGACTATTGCTCCACTATTCTTGGACATTCCTCCGGTCAGAGTGAGGGGGCTGAACCCAGCGGTCATTCACTGTCCCTGGGTGCGTGGCTGAAGTGGAATTCCGCGATGCGGATTCTGGTTGTTGTTGTTGTTGAACATTATTACTTCTAAAGAATAATTATTGTTGGGGCCCCTGGTGCACGGCCCCCTCGCCGCGCCTAGGCCGCAGCCATGTTTTCATCACTTTCGTGAAGAAGTCTCCGGCAAAACGGGTTGGTCCGGATCCGGTTGTTTTGTTCCCCCCCGCTTTCCCTTGCAAAAAATAAGGCAAAGTGGACATTTCTTGTCCTAACATAACCAAACTTCAAGAATCCCTTGCAAAAAATTAATTAAAGTGCACATTCGCGCGCGCAAGACGAAATCCTTCCAAAACCTTAGTGTTCGTAACGATTTAAACATAAAAACATCAAAAAACCAATGGTTTTTCAAAAAAAAATGGCAAAATTTCATCCCGCGCGCTCTTGCGGATTTGTAGGAAACCCAACATTTTTTAAACATTTCTGTCAAACGGGCTTTTGCGAGCAACTTTTTCACGTGCTTCGAACTTCTCCAACAACGGTTGCGCACTTGGAACAGGGGGAAAAGTCGTATACTAAGCTAGCGTCCAGAAAATGTTACCACAACAAGTCACTGTACCCATGAGCCAGTGTAGTAGCCACGGTCGTCCGCAGGCCACGAAGTGAAGTGTCCGAACGTCATAGGGCGGGAAGCTGGGTGTGGGTGGTGGCGAAGAGTCGTTTGGAAATTTGGTAGAGCTTGAACCGGCCCCCCCACAAAGTGGGGGTATTGCCCGCCTCCTATGAAAACCCTGGCACTGGTGAGAACGGAGTGTCCCCACGTGCTAGTAATTGTTGTTGTTGTTGTTGTTGTTGTTGTTGTTGTGTTTGTTGTTTTGTTGTTTGTCGTTTGTTGTTGTTGCTCATTGCTTGTTGTTGTCGTCGTCCCACCCGCGACCCACCCCGCGACCCGCCCGCGACCCACCCCGAGACCCCCCTGGCGACCCACCCGCGACCCACCTGCGATCTACCCGCGACCCACCCGCGACCCACCCGCACCCACCCGCGACCCACCCGCGACCCACCCGCGACCCACCGCGACCTGCTGCGACCCACCCGCGACCCACCCGCGACACACCCCGCGACCCACCCGCAACCCACCCGCGAACCACCCGCGACCCACCGCGACCGACCCGCGACCGACCCGTGACCCACCCCGCGACCCACACGAAATTTTCGGCGCATGCGGCAGGTGTCTTTTGCCTTCGTTCCAAATCGTTCCATGTGGAGAACCTGCGACCCACCCGTGACCCAAACCGCGTTCAGTGTACAAATCAAAATGTTCGGCACGTGCGGCGGGCTATTTTTGAATTCCTTCCAGGTGGAGGTGGAGAGCCCGCGACCCACCCGCGACCCAAACCACGTTCACTGCACAAACCAAAACCAAACTACGTTCACTGCACCGGCGACCCACCCGCGACCCACCGGCGACCCACCCGAGACCCACCCGCGACCCACCCGCGACCCACCCAAACCCACCCGCGACCACACCCGCGCGACCCACCCGCGACCCACCCGCGACCCACCCCGCGACCCACCCAAAATTTTCGGCGCCTGCGGCGGGCTTCTTTTGCATTCGTTCCAAGCTTGTTTTGCATTCGTGAGGGCCACGAGGTCCGCTGGCTCGACGCCCGCGTCGCCCGCGCCCGCCCCCTCACTCGTATCCGCAATTGCGGGATGCTATATATAGAGGGACGTGCCCGACTTAAGGTCAACCGCGCAGAGGCCCAGCAGGGTGCTCTGGGTGCGCGGAGGTCCTTCTGCGAGGCGCTGAAGTACTCCACCATCTCGCCAACCTCCGCAGGAGAAGCGGGTTAAACGAAAAGATAAGACCAAGGAGGGGAACGGCCAAGGATGACGAGGAGGGAGAGGGGTACCCGGAGGTGGTGTCTGTGGTGGTGGCTCAGGAAAGGGCGATGGGCGAAGAGGGGGATCAAGAGGATCGAGGGAGGAGGTCGAGGACCAAGAGGAGAAAGAGAGGTTGGTGACTCCCGCATCGTCCGACTGCGCACACGGACGCCAGGAAAGCGAGGCAGGAAGAAAAGAAGCCCCACGAGAAGAGGAGGCGTGCGTGGGTAAGGAGGGAGAGGTGGCCGAGAGGGGATCGGCTGGGAGGGAAGAAGCGAGGCCTTGGGGAGGGGAAGTGTGGCACGGGGAGGGAGCGGGACAGGGCCTGGAGAGGGGCTGGGGAGAGATGCGACGAGACCGGAACCGCGCGGATCCAAGAAATCCGCGCGGCGCGCCAAAAGTGTATGTTTATGGCCTTCTTCGACCTTTGAACCATCCTCTCCCTCCTCGTGTCGGGCGATGGCAGGATTGGGTTTAGTGGAACCTGGTTTAGTGATCTGTATCGGGAACGCCCCCCCCGTCCCACTCCACTCACCGGAACTGCCGTCACCTGGAAAACACCAGCCACGGCAGGCCTGGTTTAGTGATTCCAATCAATATGTTGGACCTCGGGGCCCAATCACTAACCGGGCCTCCTGACCTGGCTTCTTGGCTATACCCGATCGTGCTGCCACCCTCTCGATTCGCGGCCATGCTAGTTCGGGGACGGCCAAGAGGGGGGCGTCCAAGAGGGAGGGGGCGCAAAGCATGGCCGGCGGCATGTGCGCGGCCTAGGGGGGGAGGCGGAGACGTAATGAAACAAGAAGAGGTGCCATGAGATCTGGGGAAATACCATGACCCACGCCGTGATATCCCCCCCCCTAGTCATCACCCCCCTCTTTGCCGCCCCCGACTAATGTTCTGCCCCCCCTCCACGTACACTCCCCGAGATTCGATCGCGGTCCAGATGGGTTCGACCCGAAGCGATACGCGAATGCACCACAAGACGACTCGGCCCCCTCGCGCGGGCGCACTGCTTCGGGCCCAGACGGGAGGCCACGACAGCTCGTTGCCAAATGGCGGCGGGCGGCAGTGTCCGCGACACGGGCGGCATCATCCGGACCGCCAGCGGACAAGGAGACAACGCGCACGAGGTGATACGGCGGACGAGCAGGAGCACCAGGATTGGCAGGAGGCCCAGGATGGAATGACCACGAGGGCCCCCCCAAAGAACCGGAGCCTTCACACGGCTCCCAGGAGTCCGCCCCTGAGAAATTCGAGACACTCCACAGAATCACCGCCACAGACGCATAAGAAGAACAGGACGAAACAGCAAAACAACTGCACGCAGGCGGCACGACACAAAGCGGCAAACGACACATGCGAGATGGCGCAAGGCTCGCGAGTAGGAGCAGGACGCGTCGGGGCCCTCCTGGGGGCCTCTAGGGTCGTCTTGGGGCGGTCCTGGGGGCCACTTGGGCCGTCTTGGAGCGTCGGGAGCTCGAATAGTCGAGGACCTCAAGATTGTTAAAATACTAAGGCGAATTAATGATGTTGGCCTCTCATGGGCCCTCTTGGGAAGGCTCTTGGGGCTCTCCTGGGGCGGCGAGGCGCAGGGTGAGTGTGGGGAGCAGCTGCAGCAAGACAGACAACTGGCGGAGAAAAGAAGCACCCAGAAGCAGGGGAGAACGGGAACGGATCGGGGAGCGGGGAACGGAGAGGGGGCATAAGGTAGCAAGTCTCGAGCCAAATTGCGTCTTCCGTTTTGGTATTGTGTTCGGTGTCCCTCGTGCTTGTCTGCGTTTGTTCTGCCCCTGCTGCAAAACAAGAGCAGAACGTACACGGTCCACGACATCGCCAAAGAGCACCGTCTGGCTCGAGCCCTGCAATGCAGGGCTGGATGGGGGGGGGCCGCAGAGAGGTGGGCAGAGGCAGGAGGGATGGAAGATGGGTGAGCAGAGATGGAAGCAAGCGCAGCAGCAAGGATGAACCTGACCTCCGACGGCCTCCTGACTCTATTTAGTCGAGTCTCCCGAGGTCGGGGACGGGAAGGGGCAAAGGAGCAGAGAGGCGAGGGAAGAGCAACTACGGGGCCCAACGGTACACGCCTCCACCACCACCTCCTCCCTCGTCCCCTCCCTCTACCCAGGGGAAGAGAGGGGAGGAAGACGAGGGTGGACGAGGGAGGGGGAGTGGAGGTGGTGGTGGTGGGTGCATCTGACTGGGGCCCGCCAAGTGGGAAGAGCGCAGGAATGGAGCAGGAGGAGGAGCAGGAGGAGGAGGAGGGTGAGGAGGAGGGGGGGGAGGAGGAGGAGGAGGAGGAGGAGGAGGAGGAGGAGGAGGCGGAGGAGGAGGCGGAGGAGGAGGAGGAGGCGGAGCCCCCCGCCCCTGAGCGCCCTCGCGGGCGGAGGTCGAGCCTGGAACTTGGCGGCGGCAGGCCTGGGCGACGCCGCAGATCTGCTGGCCTCCCGCGGCGTCGGCGCCAACATCTGCCGGGGGCGCAGGAGGGAAGCGCCGTGCTGGCACCGCGCGCTCCCGTTGGGGAAGCACGCCTGGCCCGAACATGTAACGCACACGCAGAGGAGGAGGAGGAGGAGGAGGAGGAGGAGGAGGAGGAGGAGGAGGAGGAGGAGGAAGAGGACGAGGAGGAGGAGGAGGAGGACGAGGAGGAGGAAAAACATTGCCCAACTGGTTTTGCCCGTTGCTGAGGGAAACGTCCGCCGCGGAGCCCGTGCCGCAAGCTCTGGGCAGCGCGCGCCGCCTCTGCGGAGCTGACTGACGCTTTTTCTTTGCCGCGGACCTGGCCCTCGCACAGATCGAAAGAGCTACACAAGTCGGTCGGAAGAAGTGGGTAGAAATATGATCTAGTAGGGGGGCTAAAGTAGATTGAGTTCAGGCCCTCCCAGAGAATAACCAAGCATACTCAGAGAGCATATCGAGACACAGAAAGGCGCTTGCAGCAGACTGGGATCTGGGAATCCCAGAATGTCTGCTTTCAACGACCGACCTGTAGGTGGCGATGCTTGGGAGGGAGGTCTGCTTGCAGCAGACCTGCACAAAGACGCGGGCTTGGGAGGGAGGGAGGTAGGAGGGCCCAGAATCGAATCGACAAGTCGGATCGGCGATCGAAATGAATCGGATCGCTGGGAATCGGCATTCGAGTCGGGAAAAATCGCATCAGCGGAAATCGACAGGCTAAGTGTGTCTCCAGTATAACGCCAGAACCTAAAGCGAAGTCATCAAATCGGAATCGGGAGCCACCGACATCGAACCGGATCGAATCGGAGGAGTCGAAATGAGCCCTGGGGAGGCGGCCGTGGAGGAGGGGAATGGGTCGGGAGCGGCCAAGAGGGGGGTGTCCAAGAGGGGGGGGTGCAAATCATGATCGGCGGCATGTGCGCGGCCCTGTGGGGGGGCCAGGGACGTAATGAAATAAGAAGAAGCGCCATGAAATCTGGGGAAATATCATGGCCCCCGCCATGATATCCACCCCCCCCTAGTCATCACCCCCCTCTTTTCCGCCCCCGAATGGGGAGGGCGGCGCTCGGGACAGGACAGTGGACCTGGCTCCGACTGCAGTCCTGCGAAAGGGGGGAGGCCGGGACCAGGCTCCGTGCCCACCTGCGAGGGCGCAGGGCTGACGCGATCCAGTCGAGCTTCCAGGCCGTCGACGCTCCAGGGGGCAAAGCGCTGGGCGCTGAGGGCGATCTGCTGTGCCAGGGGCCGACGAACACATGATATATATATATATATATATATATATGTATGTATGTATGTATATATATATATGTATGCATGCATGCATGCATGCATGCATGCATGCATGTATGTATGTATGTATGTATGTATGTATGTAAATATGTATGTATGTATGTATGTATGTATGCATGCATGCATGCATGCATGTATGTATGTATGTATGTATGTGTATATATATAAATGAGAGCGCGTTTCTCGGGCGCTTGCCTTGGGAGCATTCGGCGGCGCGTTGCGAACTGGGGGGGTGGTCCCCCCCCCCAACACTCGGCGCGGTCGATCAGAACCAGAGGGGCTCCCCTCCCCCAGCCCCCCTCCCCGAACCCCCCCCCTCCCAAGGGGGACGGGGGTTCAACCCCCCCCCCGCCCGTCGCCGCCGTCGGCGCTGCCGGCGCTGGCGGCCGCTAGCAGCGCCGACGGCGGGAACGCAGCGACGATGACCAAAGAGGGCCCAAGGGGGGGGGGTCCAAATCCCCCCCCCCGCGCCGGCGCTGGCGCCGGGGCTGGTGGCGGCCAGCAGCGCAGACGGCGGGGCCGCAGCGACGGCTACCAGAGAGGGCCCAAAGGCTGAAGGGGGAACACTCAAATCACCATATCGAGCCCTCGCCCCCCAGAAGCCATCGAGAGGCCCTTATGAAGGTCCACGAACCTTCACACATGCTCCTCGGACGCCCCCGAGACCCTTCTGACGAGACCTCAAAAGGCATCCATTAGAACTCTGACCCAAAGCCAAAACATGGTGGCGGGAAGAGCCGACCACAGCAGCACCACCACCACCACCACAAACCACAACACCACCACCACCACCACCACAACCACCGCCACCACCACAACAACCCACTACCACCACAACCACCACAGTCACCAGACACCACTACACAACCACCACCAAAAACGCCACCACCAGCAGCACCAGCACTACCACCACAACCACAACCACAACCCCACCAAAAACCACCACACCATTACCAACACCATCACCACCACGGCCACCACCACAACCGTCACCACAACCAACCACCACCACCTCGAACTACCACATCACAATCACTAAAACGACCATCACTACCACCACCACCACCACCACCCACCACCTCAAACCACCACCAACACCACCAAACCACAACACAACCACCACCACCACCACAGCCACCACCACCACCACAACAACTCACCACCACCACCACCACAACAACCCACCGCCACCAGCACAACCGCAACACCACCACAACCACCACCGCCACAACCACCACAACCACTATTCCACAACCCACCACACCACCACCACCACAAACCACCGCAACACCAGCACCACCACCGCCACCACCACCACCAGCACCACTTTCACAAACCACCGCCACCACCTCCACCGCCGCCAACACCACCACAAACCACCACACCACAACCACCACCACCACCACAACAAACCACCACAACCAGCACAACCACCACCACCGCCACCACCACCACCACAACCCACCAATACCACCACAACCACTACAACCAACACAACCACCACGACGAACCATCACCACCACCACCGCCACCACCACCAACACCACCCACCACCACAACCACCATCACCACCACCAACAGAAACAACCGCACCGCCACCGCCACCGCCACCACCACCACCACAACCTGCCACCACAACCACCACAATAACCACCACCGCCACCACCACCAACCACCACACCACCATCACCACCACCGCCACCGCCACCACCACCGCCACAACCAGCAGCACCACCACCACAGCCCAGCACCACCACCTCAGCTCCTCCTCCTCCTCCTCCTCCTGCTCATCCGTCCGCCTGCATCATCCATCTCTCTCTTCCTCAACCATCCGCTCTCCTCCTCCATCCTCCTCCTGCCCAACGATGCCCCCAAGGTCGCCACCAGAAGACGAATCGGTTACATGATGGCCCCAGTGGAGTGCAATACGACCCCACAGCGCCCGAAAAAAAACTACAAGACAACACATCATTTGGCCCACAAGCGCCCCCCCCCCCACACACCCCCACACACACACACACACACACACACACACACACACACACACACACACACACACACACACACACACACACACACACACACACACACACACACACACACACACACACACAAAAACACACATACATACACACACACGCACACACACACACACACACACACGCTAGACCGCCCAAGGAGCCTCATATAGAATACCTCGATTCCCCTAAGGACGGCCGCGGGAGAATCCAAGGCGGCACAACTCCCCCCACAAGCGTCCAAAGAAAGCTCTATGGAACCATCCCTCACTCCAGGGAAGCCGCCCTCCCGGATACCACATGCTCAGGCCCAAAGGGCAATGGGGAAATCAACTGCCAAATGACACAGTGGACACCCATGCCAAGAAACACCCCGCTTGCCTCCAGGGTGCCCTGGGTTTCTTGGGTTTCGATGGTTCTGCTAGGGAAAAAGCGTGACGCTCCCACATCGAACATCAATGGACGTCCTGGGTCTCAGCGTTGGGTTTCTTGTGGAAAATTTCTTGTGGCCGAACTCCTACTGTAAGGCCATCTCTCGACTCGGGAGCCGGGCTGTTCCGCTTTTCAGTCTTCGGGGACCTCGGGAAGAGGGGAGACACGTGGGGCGGGCTCTTACATCTGACTATCCTCGTGGACCTGGGAAGAGAGGTGACGCATGAAGCGGACCGCAGCATCTTACGACCCTCGGGGACCAGGGAGAGAAAGGTGACGCATTGTTGACGCCTCTCTGGGCGAGCCCGGGGAGTACCCATCGGTCGGAAGAAGTGGGTAGAAATATGAAGTAGGAAGGCGTTGAAATTAAGCTGGGTGTCCGCCCGCCCCCTTGAAGAGGACGGAAGAGGGGAAACCACTCGATCCCTGGAGTAGGAAGGCGCTTGAGAAATATTGGATTTGGGGACTCAAGACATGCCTGCTTTCAACAACCGATGTGTGCTGTGTCACATGCTGCGACCCCTGGAGAAAAAGACGCACCACACGCTCTGCGGCACTATGTGGGCGGCTCTCTCGGCGGACTGCCACTCGCGGAGCGATCCGCGCTCGTGCGGCTGCGGAACCAGCCCAGGCCACTTATATAGGAGGAGGGGAGGAGGAGGAGGAGGAGGAGGAGGAGGAGGAGGAGGAGGAGGAGGAGGAGGAGGAGGAGGAGGAGAGGAGGAGGAGGAGGAGGAGGGGGGAGGAGGAGGAGGAGGAGGGGGAGGAGGAGGAGGAGGAGGAGGAGGAGGAGGAGGAGGAGGAGGACGCAACGAAGGGATACGAGGAGGGGGAGGGGGAATGCTCGGCCCACCGAGGGGGCGCGGTCGTGGGGGCCGGGAGCTCTACCACTGGTCCGTACGGCAGGCAGTGAGCTCGCGCCGACCTTCTGCCACTGCGAAGACTATAGAACGCTTCGGCCTCGCTCTGGCCGGCAGGCCGGCGCGCACCCCGCCCTGCGCGGCCTGATGGGCCTCTCGGCAGAAGGAATACGGCGCACGAGGGCATACTGCCCGAACGCCTCCACGGGCGACCGGGGGCAACGATATGGCATCGCCGACGCCCGGAAACGCACAGCCGGGGCGGCCCCGTGGGGCCGCCGCGGGAATCCATCGAGGGCCCTCTGTGCCGTTCTGGAACTCCCGAGGGCTGGCCTGCGAAACTGGAGTCGCGACAATGCCCAGGTTCGTACTTCTACGATTCGCTTGTCCGTACATGTACGAGGCGTG